CGCCATTCCCAACAACGAGACAAAGAGAACCGTTCTTCGCCCATGCTTTTCGGCGACTGTAGCCCATAGAAGCGAGGTCGCGAATTGCGTGATAAAGAACATGGAGCATAAGACACCGGTCCAATAGCCAACGTCCGATTCCTCCTCACTGATATCGAAAGCTGCAATCCATTAACATCATCGTGGGGGTAGATGCTGCGCCACCTACATTGTACCATAAAGAGGACCCACGGTGCTGACACGTTTGCCGACAAGAATTCTCCAAGCATCATCTGGATAAGGATTATGATCAGCACACAACCTATTGCGATGCCCATCCGACGCTTACTATCGAAAGCACTGTCATTGGTAGCTTGGGAAGAGGAGTTACGCCTGCACCCGCAGATATTGGAAGAGCGACCGGAATTGGGACCTTGTCAGGAATTTCTGGGGGCTCGTCGCCGGTGTAGATGGCACGAGCGCCTTCGTGCCGCGAGTCCCACTGTTCCGAGTTGAAGGGAGCATCACCAAAAGGATTCTGTTCTTGGTTAGGTGGAGTGTTCGGTGAAGGAGTGTGAGTAATCAGCGCAGAATCGTCATTCCAGTTGTTCGTAGGCAACGATATGCGTCCCGGACCCGTTCGAGCTGCGTTGCGCTCGCTCATCCCAGAGGATTTCCAATAGTTGTCGATAATATAAGATGACCAATGGCGTTTAAAATATCAGAATATGCGTGTTCGTTACGATTTTTGTTGGTTTATTGCAGTGGATGTTCAGATGTGGTTGAGGGAGGAATGTCCAAGGCGCGACCCTGGTGGCCCTGCGTCACCGACCTTAAGAGCCGAGATACGGACACTAGGAATCCGTCCGGAATAAATTCATGCTCGAATACCTCATTTAGATACAAGAAAATCTAGAGTAAAAAGTTCCCAACTGTCCCCATTCCAATCCGGTAAAGATCTGATATCAAGCTAAAAGTAAGACTGGATCAAAGTTCTTCATTCTTAGTAATGGCGAAGAGTCCTTCATGAGCATGAATCTTGTGTGCTGACAAGCCGCTCGTAGGGTCAGAACCGCGTCTGCGATCATCCAGCCCTCTGGACTTCCAGTCGGCATCCCTTGCCAACCCATTTTCCTATCTGCAAATACATCCCCTGTCGACATGAAACTCGGACCCTTTCCGTCCACTCCGTTGGCCAGCTTCGCGAGATACATTCGACAGAATCGGAGACGGGGAGGATTCCATCCGGTGGACTGTTTGAGGACTTGACGCGCTGCCCTTGCGCACTGTTCTGCTGCTGATATGTTGGCCGGTACGCTTAATTCTGGCATGGCGGTTCCACCGACCATAATGTCGACATGTCGAGCGAGCCAGGTATCCAAGAGACTTATTTGCATCCAGAGAAGAGAGTTGACGGGCAATTTCCACCCATTCCCTTCTTCTTGTTTATGATTGTACCTCTCGCCCCATTCTTTACTCAGAGCGCCTGCTTGTAGAACGGCAAAGAGCTGGGTGAGCAGTGGCACTGGGTGGATAGCAAGGTTCGGATCATGGTCCTGGGACCATATCCGAGACATTCGAAGCGTGAATTCAGAGAGGTTGGTAGATAGCCAACCTCGGATCCCACCGAATTGACAGCCATAATTATTGACCGTCTTGTATTCATCCATGACCATAATATCATCCGGAGCCTCAGAGATACGGTGAAAGATATCACGCGGTGCTATTGCAAATCCAGGGAGGTCCATCAATGTGGAGAATGCCTCGCGGGTAGCTCTCGACACCATCGACTCTTCCCATCCTTTGATAGTATCATGTGGAAAGGCAGTCGCAACGCCAACATTACCACACATCGCCATCAATAGTGCAATGTTTGGAGTCGGTGGATTTGCCCATTTTCCACCAAATGATAGCAAGCTATCCCCCTCTGCAGCTCGAAGAAACTCCTTTAGTTGCATTTCTTGCCAAATGTTGTTTTGGCATTCTCGCAGGACATGTTTGAAGATTGAATCCAGTGAGTTATAACCCCAGGACGTGATGATCATCATGCAATCGCCAATATAAATCATCCCATCCGCCGTCTCGCAGAGTATCTGTGCTTCTTGGTCACTGGCTCGCCGGACAGCGGGTTGATTGTTATATGCCATAGGTGTATAGCGCGACAACATCCCGATTCCATCTTGATATTTCGAAACAAGAGAACAATGCCGCCCGGTCATATCTAGACAGGTTTAGTTGCTTATCCTATTCAGTTAAAAGATACATACTGATTACTCGTTTATATTCGTCCACGTTAACTAAGGTCATTTCCAAGAGTAAGCCAAAATGTATGAGATCCGACATTCGGATTTATAAAGGAGGGGCGTCGAGCACGGATGGGATGGTATCGGCGTCAATCATCTCGCCAGTACCAGGGAGACGCTCAAGATCCAGTCCGAGATCACATAGCAGAGAGCACCATGTCGCTTTGGTTGGAGGGGGCGGGGTAAAGAGACGTCTGGAGACTTTGGAAAGAGACATGGCCGCGTCTCGTTCCCTCCCTCGAAGCGTGTTGATATTTACGTGTGTTGCTTCTTCTGTCCCTCTTCTCGTTAATATGACTTGGGGCACACCAGTGACTTCGACGCCGTCCTTATTCTCGGCAACTTTAGGTTGGGCGTTGGAAGACGGCCAAAACAGAGGGTGATAATCAGTACACAAATATACGTTCTGGAATGAAGACATACTGGGCAAGTGTTCCATCACTTTAAACCTATCCAGAATTTCCAAGTTATTGTGACGTTCTGTTCCTTGCTCGCGAACAGCCGCCAGGAATTGCTTTCGAGATATACTCGGTCGAGCATACTGTGAAATCAAATAAGAATTATTTGAAATTTATTCGAGAGAAACTCACCCTAATATACAGCTTGGCTCTCCATGGCCTCCAATATTGCTTGTTCTTGGTCGACCATCGGCCAATGGCCGCTTTGCTACATTTGGACCTGCTTTCAGCGGAAAGGACATATTGAAGAATCAGCTGAAGTAGTGCTACTACAAGAGCAACGAGAGCGACGACAAGCGCTGTAAAGTTGACCGAGTCGCTATTGTTGTCTGAATTAGACGCAGGCCTTACGCCAGGAGAGGATGTGTTGCTGGACATTTATGCGAACAGAGGTCGAAACTCCAGTTGCCTTGCGAGCGCAATAGTAGCCAAGGTGATGGGCAGGGCCAAGTCCCATGTCGCGCTTGCACTTTGAACTCCGACCTCTTGCTCTGAACTTTTCTAGTCATGTCCGACTCGCCTGGTTATACTTCTCCTCGCCATTTTCAGCGTACATCGCGCCCTTCAGTCTCGACTGGTTCACCTCGTCCATCCGTTAGTTCGCCGTTGGTAAGGGCCCACTGGCCCTGGACTACCTATGTCCAACAGAGGCCAACCTCGGCAATGTCCAGTCCAGCTTCTACCACCGCCGCACATTGGGAGCCGGCTGCTTCAACTTCTGTATCGTCTCATTCGTGGCAATCCATCACTCCTACAAGTAGACCAACGCTTCAGCCGGCAATGCAAGTCACTCCCGTCCAAGAAGCTCATGGCATCCGACAATGGTCGTTTTCGGTCTGTAGAGTTGCTTGACTATCAGCAATACCTAACCTCATGATCATATAGGCTTTTGAGTGGACAGTCCCCAATGTGAGGGACCTCAAGAAATTTGTCGAGAGCCAGCAGGTTGTCTCCACAACATCGTCCCTGCACAGTGAGGACAGTCAGACTAGTCACAGTAATGGCATACCCGCGATTTTGCGTGAAACTCCTATGGTGGGCGACGGCAAATTCAAACTAGAAATCAGTCGTGTTGCTCCTTCCGATGAAACGAATCCCTCCCTCAGTGTTACCCCTGATTCCAACGAAGATGTGCCCCCCGCTTCCATCATCATACCAGGCAATTCCGAATTGACCACGGCCACCACGCTTTCTCTATGTTTGACTTCTCTTCAACTGGATTTTCTACCCGACTGCGAGATTGCAACTACTGTGATGGCCGGCATCAAGGCCGATGCCAACTTTTCTGGTCAGCGAGGTGCTAGAACAGAATGGGTATGGGAGACTTGGGAGGACTTTGTGTTTAGGAAAGGGAGCGAGTTCTGGGGTGAGTGAGGATACAATGCTCAACTCATGTGTACTAACTCGAAGCAGAGTGTAATTTACCAGATTTGAGCGTTCTACTCCAGAAGCCTCGTATCTCTGCAAGCGATTCATTTACACTGTCCATTCAATTGCATACCCCTGCGGGACCACAGTTCCCTCAACAACCTCAAGTATATTATGTTCCGAAAGACTTATTGGACGGGCTTGAGGCTTCCTTGGACAATTCCAGTAAGTAATATAACGACGTCTTTCACCTCATACTTATAAAGATGAAGATACCGGAGACGTTCAGTTCGTCTGCCTCGAGCGTTTCGACCCCTCGATTCATTCAGGACCCGAGGTCAATGCCGACCCACAGCAAAATTCACCTTCTTCAAACTCACCTTCCCCTAGTGCGAGGAAACGTGTGATCTATGCCCATTCTGATATCCTAGTCCGTCGATCCGAATACTTTGCGGCTCTCATCACCTCTTCGTTCCGGGAGAGTGCCGCCAATCCAAATTTGCATGATCGAGAATTAGGTCGGACTATGCATACAATTGTAGTAGAAGAGGCCGACTTTGTGACGATTTATTGGCTGCTCAAGTACCTCTACTGCGACTGGCTGCTATTCCGAGAAGATGACGATCCAAGGGCTGCAGTTGACGGCATGGGAGCTGGTTGGAATGCTCGTTGGCTTTCACAAGGCAATGAATGGGAGTGGAAAACTTTCTCGACGGAGACAGGTCAATTTGAGGACCTCAAGGACAGGGAGGATGACTCTACGGCTAAAAGTGTGGCATCTGAGAGTGTGAGCGGCGGAAGTATCGTCAGTGATGTATCTAGAGGGAATAAGATTGTAGGCCTAGCCCCCTCAGCTCCGTCCAACAGGACCCCGTCCAGGAGCGGAAACAGCAGTATCTCTTCTACAACCCTCCGCCCATCAAATCAGGCGAATGCCTCAATCTCACGACGTCCCGGAAAGTTGGTGACCTCTAATACTATCCCTAGCACCTCGGCAGCCAGTTCTGTGCGTTCCCCAACTACCCCATCAAGCACCTC